TACCGGCCTAAACCTTGATGCACCGTGCCCGAGCACCCGCTTTGCACTGGCTGGCCATAGACTCCTCGGACAGAGTCAGTCATTAGACGTTCGCCGCGCTTCTCTGGCTACAGGCGGCTCGGCCTGGTACCACCGTCAGCGCATCCCCCCTCTGCGTGCTTCTGAAGTCAAATGCCTGTGCAATCTCTCCTGGCCCTCGCGTGCCCACGTTACGTGGGTATGCCCAAAGACAGTTATGCACAGGCACGGCCTCCAGACTCCCACGAACAGAGTCGAGGAAAGGCTTTTTGGCGCCCCCCTGCCGGAATACCCAGCTGCCCCTGATGGCAATCAGGTCCCAGCCATGATACAGGCTTTAAGGGCTCATTTTTGCCAGGTCTTGACACAAGATGCCGACAACCTCCTCGTTGCCAGTGATGGAAGCCATCATCTCGGAGTGGGTGCTTGTGCAGTGGTGACGGAGAGTTCAGGAGACACCTTTTCCGCAGGAGATGATGCCGAAGACCAATCTCCCTTCCGCTACGAGATGGTCGGTTTGAATGCCCTCCTGCAGGCTCTTCCGCGAGGGCAGCGGTACAACAACTCCACCGTGACCATTCTGGTCGATTGCCAAAGTGCCTTGGATTCAGTCCAGCGCCCTGACACCAGCAAGCTCAGGTGCCTAGCGGAAGAGTCGGCTTCTTTGTTACAGGCACTCCGTAGGGAGTATAAAGCAGTCCACCTGGTGTGGGTCCCCTCCCACAACAAACGACTTGATTGGCAACCGCCTTTCGGTTTAGATGACCGCCGGTGCCGTGACCTGAATGACAAGGCTGACCGGGCAGCCAACAAAAGACGTGCCTCACGAGCCCAAGGCTCCTCTCGAGTGGCGTGGCATAGCCGCTTTGAGGAAGCTGAGCAATGGGAAGTTGCTGCCATCTCTGCGGCAGCTGCATCGTCTGCCCTGTTATACGACCATCTCAAGCCTTCGGTTGCCCCTCCCTAGGATCGGGTTTTGTACGGGTTTAGGCCTTTTCCCTAGGTGTGCGCTGCAATGCTGCATTCACCCTGGGTGTGGTCGTGTGCCCAGCCTGCTTGCCCACTCCCCTTGCGTGTGGTTCCCTAGTGTTGGTTTAGGCCCACCCCTTAATGGCCGCGTGAGCTCCTGCGAGCTCCTCACTCCTCGAGGTTTTGTGCTGTGCCTTCCGGGCGTTGTGTGTGCTGAGCCTTGTCCTCCCACCTCCCCTAGAGTGTGGTTCCCTAGTGTTGGTTTAGGCCCCCTCTCAAGGCCTGCGTGAGCTCCAGATGGCTTCTCGTTCCCCGATACTTCGAGCTGAGCCTTCAGCCGCCTCCCGTGCCCCACCTTCCCTAGTGTGTGGTTTTAGTGTTGGGTTTCGGCATCACCCGTGTACTCGTACGAGCCCCGCTCTGCGATGCCCTCGGCTGTGACTGCCCTCTACTAGTGCTGGCCTCCCTCAACAGGCCGGATTTTCTCGTTTAGTGATAGGTTGGTAGTCGGCTTTCCTTTCTTGCGCTTGAGCACCATCCGGTGCATTTCACGGGACTGTGGCGATGCCTCCTACAGCCTGCTGACCCTTTTCTTGCCAAAGCAACACGGTGCGCGGACCCCAGGTCTGCACGAGCACTTGACACAACCTTGCCTAGACTTGCTGCTCTACGCAGGGCTTTCTTTGCAACTTTGTGACTCGAAACACCCTCTTGTGCTACCTCGTCGAGACCTCACTGGCTGCTGCGGCTGCTGCGCTGTGGTTGCCGCGGCTGCTGCGGTCTTCTGGAGCCCGCGTCCTGAGTTCCTGCGGCAAGTCCCACTGAGAACGAGCGTAGCCTTGACGTGTACGTAGTCCTGTAGCCTTTTGCTCGAGTCAACTTGGTCACACATGCTGAAGTATGGTACCGAGGACTCTTTGTAGCAAACTCTGTCTTCTTGTTGCACCTGCAATGTTTTGTATGCTACTTTGATGATCTTGCTTCGCTTTACACTTTCGCATGGGGAATGTGGAAGCCGTAAGGCTAGCAGAAGGTCTCGACTCTTTCGCTGTACAGCCGAGCTGTTCGTTACACAGTGACGAATGGACAAAGACGACACGAACCAGCAGCGGCGAGGGACCTGCGCGCCTGCCCTCCATGGTAGGTGCAAGGGCTCTTGTCGTGACACAATCAGACGCACAGTCTCAATGCTCATCACGGACGCAGAGCTCAGGCTCAGGAGCAGGGAAAATTTTGATTCCCACCCTCCACTCCCTTGTAGATACTGTGGTCTCAAACCACGTGGGCTGGGGGGCACAGGCACACAGGTGCGCCTTTCCGACACGTCAAAGACCTGTTCAAGAATTAGATGCCTGCGTGAGCCTGCCGCCACCCGTTTGAAAACATCCTGCGTGCTCCTTTCGGCAGTTGCTATCTCTTTAGATATTTATCATGAAGAGGCGAGGATACATTTGATTGGAGTCACAAGAGGCGAAAGCAAGATATGAGGATTTATACCCCATATATTCTTCGGGGATACTGTCGGTGCATTTATACCTTCGCCGATATTTCCGTTTGCCCAATATATCTTCTGGGCAATAGAATTTCTGATGAGGGAACTGAGTTTTGTAAACTTCGCTCACAGCGCCCTTCCTAAACACAACGGTTACGGAGAACAGGAAGCTTGAAGCGAAACTTTTGCTATTCTTGGTTTCAAGTGAGGCGGCCGTTCCGGGCCGCCATGGAGGCTTTTTTTCAGGGACCAGAGCCAGGAAGCGAGCCTTCTAGAGCATCATATGTGAAACGAGATGCGATTTGCCATACAGCGGCCCAGCACTCGCTTGCCTTGAGATGGACTGAGCAAGACATGGAACTGCTGCTCGATGGCCAACAAATCACATCGACGCCCGACCATCTGCAAACCCCAGTTCGAACGACCGCCGTTTGTCTTTGCCTTGTGTGTGGTCAGGAGGCTGGTTTGAGTCAGCACGACTGGAGAGTCTGCCCTGAGAGCAACACTTGGGGGAGCAAGGAACACACGGAGCATTCTCAGCACATGCAGTCGTTGCTGACTGAAATGGCCAACAATCCGACTGTCCGATGTTGCCTGTGCGGATATCAGGGGCTCGCCCGTAGGCCTGGCTGGGGAGTCTGTACTCTTTGCCAGAATTGGGCATGCAGCGCTCATATCCGCGGAAATCCTACGCAAAGGTGTCCAACTTGTGTGCTACCCCTACAAGATTACATGGCAGGCAAGACTCTGGAAGTATCTTCTGCGGAGCAGCTGGCAGAGTTGCTGGCCAGGGACGATTTTGTTTGGCAACCGCATCCTCATCGCGTGCACCAACTCGCGTGGCCCTTGCTTGATGGCCAGACCCCAGCTGCAGTTACTGCTACGTATCTTGGAGCATGTAGCAGTTTATGCTGCTGCTGGCACTGCTTCTTGGGTTTGCCTTTTCGTTTTCCGGTGTGTTCTTGTTATTCTGCTTCAGTTTCTTGACATGTTTCTTTGTGTTGATGTTGCTATGGCTCTCGCTCCTGCTGCTATTGCTGCAAATGATTCGGTGTGTTATTGCCGTTACCCAACGCTGGCACATTTCTGTTCCGCGGGCAGCGCGCTTTTATTGTTTTACTGCAGCGTTGTCTGATTCAGGCAAGGGACGGATGGTGGACATGACTCAGACAATGAATCTGGCTTTTGGGGCCCGCCCCTTGATCCAGCGGTGTCCTCAGACAATGAATGAAACAGGCTTCTGGGCAGCATGCTGTTATCGGCAGGCGCTCGAGAACGATGCTGCCACAGCGTCAGAGAGCGACGAAGAAGACAGCTGGCACCTTGACTCACGTGAAGCGCTGTTGCTGCTCTTGCTATCAGTGGTTTCTCCGAGCTGGCCCAAGCAAGCCTCAGCTCCAAGGAACTCAGATGATGTGTCCGCAGCATCGGAGAGTGACGGCGAGGACAACGTGCATCTCGGGCTTACCTGTAGCTATAGCTGCCGATGATGCTGTCAGCAAAGTCAGGGCTCAGATAACCTGCCTGGCGCAGCGGGAGTTGACCCCGCGCTGTATCTCGAGTTGGTCAGCAACAACATCAGGGTGATAGTCGGGCAACATAGGTGACAATGTCGGGTTCCTGTGTTTCTGTTTACAAGCAACTTGTTTTGAATCTGTTCAGCCCGAGTCTATGTGTAGCTATATCACTGCAGTTGCTGCAGTTTCTTAATGCACACAAGAATCGCAACCAAGGGACTCGGACAATGACTCGCTTTCCTGGTGGCCGAGCGATGACCCCTACATCGAGGAAGCACATGACACCAATGGAGAGTGGGTTGTCGACGACAACCTTTGCTGGCATTGGGTTCCGAACTCCCGAGAAACGCAGGGGTCGCTGCCTGGTGCAGCGGGAGTTGATCCCGCGCTGTATCTCGAGTTGAACTCCCGAGACACGCAGGGTTTGCTGCCTGGTGCAGCGGGAGTTGACCCCGCGCTGTGTCTCGAGTTGGTCAGCAACAACATCAGGGTGATAGTCGGGCAACATAGGTGACAATGTCGGGTTCCTGTGTTTCTGTTTACAAGCAACTTGTTTTGAATCTGTTCAGCCCGAGTCTATGTGTAGTGTAGCTATATCACTGCAGTTGCTGCAGTTTCTTAGTGCACACAAGAATCGCAACCAAGGGACTCGGACAATGACTCGCTTTCCTGGTGGCCGAGCGATGACCCCTACATCGAGGAAGCACATGACACCAATGGAGAGTGGGTTGCCGACGACAACCTTTGCTGGCGTTGGGTTCCGAACTCCCGAGACATGCAGGGTCTGCTGCCTGGTGCAACGGGAGTTGATTTTGTGTCGCAACCTTGCTTATTAGTTTTTGCAATCGACATCGGCAGTGTGGTTTTGCAGAGGGCAATAGGAACATGTATATAAGGGTTCTGTTCGCTACAGGCAAGCTGTCGACCATGTGGTTCGGCCTGACGTGCTTGGTGGCGCAGACAATATGACAGGCAAAGCTAGGAAACGTTTGCAAGCCTCCAAGATGGAGGCCTTCAGGCGGAAGGCCCAGCGGCTGGCCATCATGCCCGAAACGGGTTTCCTACCACGGCTGCTTCATGAACAGGCAGACTTTACATTCCCGATGTCTCCAGCAGACTATGATACGGCTTTGGCTGTGAATGTGGATGTGCTGCGGTTTCTGCACCCGCATCTGCGAGATCTTGGTGTCAGGTTTGAGGCTGCAAACCACGAGTATTTTGTAGGCGGCGCAAAGATGAAGCACTCCGTGACAGGCTTGATTCACAAATTTTGTGAGCCCTTCAACGCTGAAGCCGTTATCGGCTTCATGATGAAGGGGCAGAATTGGCCACGTCCTGGATACCTGCAGCGGGTCATCCCTTTTGATGCTGTTACTAAGCTGCACCTTCTATCTCCTGAACTGCTTCCGCTTCTTGCGGGCAGTCCTCGAGACGACCCGCGCATTTGCGACGTACTGCGGGCGCTCTCCGGAGTCTTTGGCTTGGAAGACGAGATCTCGCGCCTGGTTCTGTCACCTGAGCAGATAAAGATCAAGTGGGCAGCCGATGCTAAAGAAGCAGCATGTTATGGTACTTACATGCACAACTTGTTTGAGGCATACCTCAACGGGTACGATGTGCCAAGATGCTCTCCAGAATTCCGCATGCTTTGTCATTTCCTCGCGAATATGCCCACGTCCACTAAAGCTTGGCGCACGGAGTGGGTGATCTATGGCGAGGAAGAAGGCCTAGCAGGCTCCGTCGACTTTTGCGCCAGGAAAGATGACGGCACGCTCATAGTAGTGGACTGGAAGCGCAGCGCTGGCCTGCCATCAAAGTGCACCTCGGCCAGAAGAATGCTGGGTCCTCTGAGTCATCTGCCTGACTGCACGGTGACGCATTACAAGCTGCCGCTGAATACTTACAGATACATATTGGAGAAGTACTACGATGTGAAAGTGTCCGAGATGTACATTGTTTGCTGTCATCCGGAGCATGGCACAAGCCCATGGGTATGTTCAGTGCCCAGGCTCGAAGCAGAGACAGAACTCATGTTGGCACACTCACGTGATTTTCCAGGCGGTGCAACTGCTCCACCGGCAGAGAGTAAACGCTGGAGGGTGCGCCATGATCTCCTGCAGCGTTATGCGGATCTCGTGCTTCAATTTCCCTGCGTGGAGTGGCTCTGTCCTACACCGACCGACTATCGTCTGGCAAGCAAACGACAGTGGGAGCGAGCAATGCGCAATGCTCGTGTCACACTTGCTCTCCTGCAGCGAGAGCAATATTACATCCTATATATGTTCCTTCACACGCAGCACAAGAGGATTTCTCTGCCCCACCCAATGGTTGATTTCAGAGCGACCGAATGGGTGCCTCAGGCAGTTGCCTCGTTTCTTGAGCACGAACGACAGACCTTGCCCGGTGTTCGTGAAGTGCAGCCTGCAGATTTGCAGGGAGGATCTCTTCTGCCAGATGAGCTATTTCGCTACATTGCCATCAGCTCTCCCAGCACCGGTCAGCTGTATCAGCTCCAGGCTTGCTGCCGTAGATTTCGAGAAGTGATTCTCCAGCGGAAGTCGTGGCAAAATCTGCACGTACACCTTGACACATTTGCCAACGAGAGCGACGACGACTTTGCTCGTGCGATCCGATTGTTACCTGTCTGGAGTAGCGCCAGGCAAGTTATTGTGTCTTATAGACTTCTTGGCCGGATGCCTCTTTCAGCGCTGCCGTCAAATCTCAAGATGACGTGGTCCGTGCGAGCAGCGGAGCCTGCGACGCTCTTCAACTGCACGTGTTTCGCTTGGGAATCAGTGGAAAATCTTTTTGGCTCAGCAGAGTTTGCTGTCAGATGCATGGACCCGGACAGTACCATGATTGTTGGTGTGAAGAAAAGAAATGATGCGCAGCCGTGGCCGTTGGCAAGCCAGCCTCGAGCGGTCTTTCTTCGGCTTCAGAATCCGTTCGGCAGGGACATGCGTGCTAGCTTCGGCAGAAGCAACGAACAGTTCTTGGATTTGCCAGGGGTCCGCGGCCCTTGCCAGGGTAGGAATTTCGAGCATGATTTCGCTGTACAGTGGGTGGGGCGGGAGCTGCGGATTACTATCAACGGTGTTCTGCTCCCGATCTTGCGCTTGCGTCCCGAAGTGGCCGCGAGTCTTGGTGCCCACACAAAACTCTTTGTTAGATTCTTTTCTTCCTCAGCAGACGCGCAAGCCAGCTTCTCCGTGCGGCCGTTGCCATGCACAGTTCAATCAACTTCTTGCGTCAGCTGCTTTCGATGTCAAGCGCTCTCCACCGTTGGCACCGGTGCTATTCGACCTTGCACTCATTGTCTTGAATGGTTCTGCCGATGGCATAGAGATCAGGTTAGTGACCGAGAGATCTGCCACTCTTGCGCAAATGTGTGGACAGATGCAGTCGGAGGCTCTACAGGTGACCCAGTTGTAGAGGTGCAGACTCAGGCCTCGCAAGACAGCTTTGCTGCTAGTGTGCATGAGGATATACAGCATCAGCTTGCAGTCCAAGACGCCCAGGATGCCGTCTCTGCGCAACTCAAAAGCGAAGAAATCGAAGAAAGAGCTGCTGATGTTGAGCTTGAGGCTCAGGACGACAGTGCCTGGGCAGCCTTGAAGAGAAGACGCCTGCTGCCTGGCGCAGCGACATCGGATCGCGACTTTCGCGAGTTGTTTGCCGGCTTAGAGCAGTACCGAGCTGTTTTTGAACATGAGGCATCCGAAGTGACGGAAGAGTTGAACAGCATTCCCAACTTCGTGTCGCGATACAGGGCACGAATCCCGCGTGACTACCCTGGTATGTCTGAGTACATGATCAAGCTCATGACAGCTGCCGTGGCCGTGCTCGGTCTGCGCACCGTGGACGTGTTCCAGCAGGAAAATGCCATGATGTTGTGGATCATCGAAGGCGAAACACACATGCGCTTTCACCACGGCGATTGCTACATTCTTCACAACAGCGGGGCATTTCAGCATTACAAAGGCTCACCGCTGGACTGCAGTCGCGTTCACAGCTTTCTTCTGCATCTGTAAGGCTGGGCATTCAGTGAACATACTTCCTTCCAAGCCCGGGAAGTTGTGGTGAGTTTATTTCTTCTGTGTGGTATACTGCGTTGTAACAGCTTGCTAGTTGCATTGATTCGTATTCCTGACAGGATTGTTCCGGCAGCTTCCACCAGGCACTCGCCGTACTGAGCACGAAGTTCTTCAAGCAGTGGCCGTGTTGCTAACGAGAGCCGACAGCGAGCGCGACTTCTTGGCGACTTGCCGTTCCGCCGCCGTGAACAATGCAGGAGATAGCTTGATCAAGAACAAGCAGGCGCACGCTGCACCGCAAGCAGATGAAGGCGATGCCGGCCGTGAGGGAGAAGGTGAAGTACCCGCTAGCCACTGGAATATCTACTCTGCTCGCATGATCATTTCGTTCGAGCGAAACATCATCAGGGAGATGGCAGAGGACAAACTCATCTCTTACATGATCGAGTTTTGCGAGCAGCCAATGATGCAAGTGTCGGGATGCTGCTACAACGATTGCTGTGTCATTTACCCGGGTGCAAGTCCAGCTGAGCAGGTGCTTTTGCTGCAGTAGGAAGCCATGACAGTTGCTTGTGTTCGCTTCTTCTGTCAGAACTGATAGCCTGCAAGTGTCGGGCGGTGGAGTCGTCGAGCTGTGCTTTTTGAACAAAGGTACAGCGGACAGGTGCGAAGGATATATTCGTCCACATCCCGCACAGTATTAAGCGCGTTGTTCCGGATCATGCGATGCAGCGCCTTCTTAAGTTTTATAAGCAGACGTCCTGGAGCAATGTGGCGGCTTTCAAATGCTGCCAAGCTGCTCAGGTGGCCGTGTTGCATGCCAGAAGTCGTTGTCGCGTCCAGTTGGTGCGCCACCTGTACTGTAAATGTACATGAGACTGAGCTGCTGAGGCGCTGGCCAAGAGAGGTCTCAATGTTGTGCGCATCTTCATAGGTTTATCGTCCGGCGGCGTTGGCCAGTCTCTGTACTCAGCTCATTTGGAGGCGCACCGTAGTAGGTTGCATGCATTCATAGCAGACGCGACGAGTTGCCGTGGCCACTGCTTGCGAAGGAGATGTACGGCCACAACTTCGCATACTTTGACCCCAACATTTGGTATCATGAGGATGAAATGAGAAAACAGGTTGAACAGCTTAACGGCAAGTTCATCCTGACAGGCTGGACACACATGCTTTGCAAGTTGCAAGGCCAATTGCTCGCTACTGCTGTCTACGCTGCAGCATGAGGTCAAGAAGCTCCTGGCACTACTCGACGTCTCCGCGATGATTTATACAAGAAATTCTTGTCAGGCGAAGGCGCCCAAAATGTTTTTCAAGTCGTAAAAAACCTGCAGCAACAGACTTTTGACTGCGTTAGATTAGGTGGTTCATCATTGTGCCTTTGTAATTACATAATGAATGCGGCGCGAACAGCAATCGGTTTTCTGCGTGCCTGCACAGGCATCCCTGGCCGGAAGCCATACGGACTTCGCACACGCATGATTCAATGCAAAGGCTGGAAAAGACTCGAAGCAAATCGTTTCTTCGCTTTTGCCAACGTCACCAAGCGGGAGTTCAACGCAATATTGAGGCGCTCATTCGTCTTCAGGATCAGAGCACGCTAAGCAGTACAATGCAACTTGACTGCAACTTCTAGCAGGGTGGGAGGCTTCTGTGTGTCTGTGTGTGTGTGTGTGTCAGAGCGTGATTGTCTGGGCAGATGTCAAGGCGCGTATGAAGATATCGACAAAGATGGTATCTTCGCGAAAGATCAAGACCTCAAATGTTTCGATATGTGCTGCTTTGCAGCTGCAGCACGCACTCGAAGCTCAACACAATCAGCAGGACACAGATGTGGGTGTCAGGGTTGTCGATGCAACACTGCAGGTTGCAGGTATCAATCGTATAACACACTTCACTCTTCAGTTCAACGAACAAGACTTGCAGATGTACAGATCTTCGGGCTGCAGACGCACTGCTGCAAGGCACTTGTGCTTGTTAATGCAGTGTTGCGGCCAACTTGCTTGTCGCAGGAATGTGCTCAGATGATCGAAGATTATGTGCAGTGGGGCGGTGACCACGGGCTCACAGAAAGTACAATGCGCGAGGCATGCGGATTGCCTCTCCGAGACATGAGAGAAATTTCCAACCGAGCGCACGCAATAATTCAAGTTGATGATGACGACAAGGACGTCGACAAGGACCCAGACAAAGAGTGGGAGTTGTTGCGCAAGTTCATCGTGAGTCATGTGCTGGATCTGCGCAGGCCTGATATCACGAAACACATGCTCTTGCGTCTCAAAGTTCCAGGTGGCCCGAACTTGACAAAAGAGAATTTAATCAAGGAGCTTGTGAACAACAAGATCTTGGCAGAAACACCTGCTCGGGGCAAGACTGCCGAAGTCTATAGGCCTCTGCTGGCATGTTCCAATCTGCAGACGGTGGTCGCGTTCAATGACAAGCACCGGGAAATGGTATTTCCAGAGAACCTTCAGGCGCGAGGCTTCGTAGAGTATGTGCAAGGCTGTCCCGCTCGCCGGGAGAATGCTTTCGTGCTGGGCAGATTCTTTTGCGCAGCGAAGAGTTCGTTTCTTCGCGGCCGGCCTTCAAGGACTGATGCCGGTGTCTTGGACAAAAGCGATGCGTATCAGGAGCGTGGGAGAAAGCTACTTGAGCAGGAGAAGCTGTTCGACGAAATCCTCAGAGAGTTGACCAAATTGTCGGGCGACCCTGCTCCAGCGTCGACTCAGGAGTCTCAACCCGCTAAGCGGCGGCGAGTCAAATCCAAAGAGCTATTGAAGGTGAAGGAAGAATCGGATGATGTGAAGCCACTTGTGCAAAATATTAGTGTTGCAGACGTTCAGGAGACGCTGCACACTCAGCGGGCTTATGTCTATTCCGGGGAGGTTCCTTTTCGATCGCGCAGGACAGTGAAGGGGCCCGGCGTGCAAAAGTTTTGCAGACGTGCGGTTGTACACTTAGCGTCGAAGTCAGTGGATCTTGATGTGGAGAACTCGGTCTTCACGCTGATGTATCAACTTATTGAAAAGCTGACTATCCGTCCGCCTCCCCCAGACTATGTTAAAGAGACTTTGCGCCAGTGCGCCAAAGAACGTGATCGTGTGTGTCGAGAGATACTGAAGACCTCCAAGGCCGGCATGTGCCCATGTTTGTATGCCGTTTGAGACAGCTCCAACCTGTGTAGATCTGTCTGAGTTCGTGTATGTGAATCCCAGGCAGATGGGAAGAGCAAGCTCATCAAAGTCTTTAACGGAGGAGGCATCCCGTCCTCGGAAGGAGCCGCCGCGAGCTTCTTCGAGAACATGTCCAGAGTGTCTATTTACTGTCGTTGGCTTGCAATATCTTGCTTTCCAGATGAGCATGCAAGATTTCAGCAACCAGAGACGAAGAAAAAGAACCCCGATTCTTCAATTCTCTCTTATTTCTATCACTCGCTGGAAGATTTCGTGTTGTCGGCAGCAGCAGACTATCTCCTCGGCCAGAGTCCGAAGCACTTATCCCTGCACTATGACGGTGTCCGCGTTTCCCCAGCGGAATCCGAAACAACGGAGGAGGTTTGCAACAAGTTGCAAGAGCATGTGAAACAGACAACTGGATTTGACGTTGTCGTGCGGGAAAAAGTTCACCGAACAGTATTGCAGATCATTCTTGACGAAGCAACGTCCAAAAGAGCATCTGTGCTGTCGCCAGATTCCGTTCTGCGAGGAAATGGCAATTGCATTCCAGCTGCAGTGAGTCTGTTGCTAAAGCGAACGTCTGAGGTGGAGCAGGCCGTCGTTGCTGATTCCCAAGGCCAAAGCTCCGAGAGTCGTGCGCCGACGAGACCATCGACGCGGTCGTACAGAGAGTGTGAAAAGCTCTTAGATGTCAACCTTATCCCTCAGCTTCCTGAGCACGACTCGACCTCAATGCAGCTGCAGCCGGGTAATTTCTTGTTGCACATGGAAAACGGCGGCACCCCGCACTGTGTGGGACTCTATGTGCCCGATGACTCGAGCCTGGAGATCACGGTGCTGGACGCAAGCAACAACATCTCCATCCAAACCTCATCGCTTGACAGTGCATTGCGCGACGGACTGGATGGCATCACTTGCATTCTGTTCCATGTGACGCATGATAAAAAAACAGATCTCGCCACACACTTGCTGGGAGCCTGAGGGTTTCCAGGTGCTGCTGGACCTTGAAGCTGGTGCTGCCGAAGCAATCGAGATTCTGTCTGAGGATGATCGTCCAGAGAGTGTCGCTAGCAGTACGTCTGAGGCGCAGCGAGCTGCAGATGATAGTGGACCATTCCTGGATTCAGATGCGCAGGTACTCGCGGACAGCAAGCTTATTGCGAGCATGAAGCAGGAGGTAACAGAACTGATGTGCGATAAAAGGAAGCAGTGCTTTAAGCAAACCAGGCGAGGACTGAGGTGTCCCTTCTGTCCCTGGCGATGCTTCAGAAGGTCGGGAGGCGTGTTGCGCCATATTCAGAAGCAGCACACCAGCAAGAAGCAATACTGCAGCTCTGGGACGAAGCAGTTGAAAGTTGTGCTGGCGTTGCACGACACCGATGTCATAGCTGGGCTTCCGAAGCGGGACTACCTTCGAAAAAGTGCCGAGCTCCTGCGCCAGCTGCTTATCTGCAAGACCAATTACCGTAGCAGACATGTGTTTGCTTTGCTTGTGAAGTGGTTCTGAAAGGCAGGTGAAGCCAGCTCTCTCTCACAAGCACAATGCCATTGACAGAGACGTGCGTGTCGTCTTTTCCGCCGCAGGACAGGTTAAGGGCGATTTGTCGGACAGCGGTGTAGTCTGACGTACGCAGTCTTGCTATAGGACCATTCTATGCTCGAGCAGACCAAGTGGCTGCCTTGCAAGCGCGAAGAACGGGTGATCTTCACTACACGCATTGCTTTGCCGAGAATCTGTTCAGGGAAATGCTGTTCAACTCGGGCAAGGCATGCATGTGTCAGCGTGAGCATCCCGGCGAGTGTGTTAGCGAAAAAAGTTGTTTGTTTTTCCTGCAGGTGCACACTCCGTGGACCCGAATGATTCTTGATGCTTCTGTGGCTGGATCCAGGTTAACCAACCTTTTACCTGTTCACAGCAGGTCTTGGTGGCCTATGGTGGAAGATATCTTCAGCTCCAGAGCTTGCCAGAAGCTTGATCATCAACTCCTGTTTGAGTGCATGAAGCATGACGAGCTCACTTACCTTTCTGTTGATGGCACAGTGAAATGCACTATGCCGCTGCTTGGCCAGAAAAGGCCTGGTGGCAAAAACAGGCAGTCTGAGCCCTTTTTCATCAATGCCACGGATGCGATCCACACCGTGGTGACAGTACGAGGACGCTCTGGAGCGGTTGTCGGGTTTTGGCCGCTGCTTTCGGAGAAGGCAGAACACCTGCAGGAGGCGTTCCTGCACAACTTGCCTCAGGCAGCTCTTGCTCAGGTGCAGTGCGTGGCCACAGATGCGCCGTCCTCCCTCATGTTCTCCCGTCTACGGTCGATTATGCCCAACTTGCAATGCTTGTGTTTGGATCCAGTTCATCTGGCCATTAAATACGAGTACGCCACGGGGCGCGGCAGAACCAAGGGCTCTGCGAGTTTGCGTGCATGCTTGGGTAAATTCAATTCTACCGACTCGACGGTAACTGCGAATCGTTGGGGAGCCTTTTTCACGGGCCAGCGCGCAACACCATTGTCTGCGCGGGAAAGAACCTTGCGAGATCAGATTCTCTCAGGAGGCATGTCCGCGAGCAAAGCTTCCTCCATCTTGCAGCAGGCCGAAGCTAAAGTGGTCTGGGCAAGCCGCACCGAGTTTACGGGAGGCATTGGCTGCAATTTCCAAGATCTTTCGCAACGAGGTTGAGCGGAAGGGAGAGAAAAAGGGCAAGTTTGTGTTTCAACACTTGGCTTACGCCGCCGAAGCGGAGAGACTCGAATGGTTGCTGAACAATTTACGATTTCGGTCGACGCAGCCCAGTGCTGTGTTGAGCCTGTTGTCGTCGGGAGCAACCTCGAACGAAGCGCTGCACGCGGAGATGCGCTCATGGCTCCGACAAATTCAGTCCATGCATCAGTCGTCTCTTCTTTTAAAGTGCTCCGTGTTCCGCTTGCGTAAGCTCTTGGAGGACAACACTGCTCTTCATCGGCCTACGGCCCGACAGATGACTCCAGGCCATGTTTTGGCGCGACGACTGGGCCAGAACTTGTGGAGCACAAGAGCTTGGCAGCAGTTTGCCAAAGAAAAGGCTCAGCATCTTCCGCTGAAGCGGCTTCGAGACCAGCACACCGCTGCGAGGCGCAAGCTCATCTTACAGAGGGCTGGCATCATCAGACGACTCACCGGAAAGCAGCCACAGCCACTACTTGCAGACAGAAGGTGCCGAGTGAAGAAGCGCACTGCTTTCACGTTGTTGCGCACTGCCGGTATAATTCGGCAAGGGGTCGCGAAGCGACGTGCGCCATCGTAGACTCAGACTCAGACCACCGGCAAGATGAGGCAAAAGTGTTTCCAGCTAAGCACGCGGCATAGGCATATATTATGTGTACCCCAGCCATCGGGCCTTGGGAGCCAGGGTTTTCACGGAAAAGCACCGGATCACCTGATGAAGGGGACCCCTCTCACGCAAGTGTTTTTTTGGGTCCTCGCTATATCCGCAAAATCCCAGCAGACCTCGCTAATTACATCCTGGCTGGCCCTGAAGAATAATATACGTATTCAATGCGAACACTGAAAACACACGCAACATCCTTAAGAACCACACGAGCAAGCCTGAGCTGCGAGACAGCAGCAGCCGCGAAGTTCCTAAGTTGCAGAACCTTCTCTGAATCTTGTCTTCAAGCAGAAGACCTTGAAGCCTGAACCCCAAGCTGAACTCCGAAAGAGCTGTAAACAGGCCCACAAGCACTTAGCAGACGTAGCGCATTAGGAGTGGGCGGAGGAGCAGGATCACGGTCAAAGAGACTAGCTGGAATAGGTGGTAGTGCCAGTCGTAGCCGTAGTGATCAGCAGTCGTCGTCGTCGTCGTAGTAGTAGTAGTAGTAGTAGTTGTTGTTGTAGTAGTAGTTGTTGTAGTAATAGACGTAGTGGTTGTTGTTGTCGTCGTCGCCGATTATCATTCGAGACATTCACGAATCTTGCGGGGAGGACGACTGATAGCAATGACTTGATTGCCAGGTTAATTGTAGTATCGCTGTTCGTCGGACTGTCACATCTCTGCTTCCTACTTCACCGCCGCACAGATACGGGCTTGCAGTGACGAAGCGACCAGCCAGTCAATGTTGCTGTCGATGGATTTCATCAGAGTGTAGATTTTTTGCGACGTCTCCCCAAAAGACTGAGTGAGTACAGCTCAATGAATTCTCTACCAGCTGCAGCGATCTTAGAAGTTAGAGCAAAGGCAAATAAAGGCAAATAGTGCCTGGTCCAGTGTATCTTGGTCACCCGAGCCGGCTGCTCTGGAAACCACGATATCAAGATCCAGACTGCGACCGAACGTTCAAAACGCAATTGCTCTGCTTCCGTGTGCACCTGTAAGGCTGCTTCGTAAGACTAGGCCAAGTCCTGCTGGTGAGTAGCCGTTTTCACAAGCTGGTCGAAGGAAGTTATAACATAACCCACTGAACATGCAACCGTCGACAAGCCGGCTTGGATGTCAATCGCAAGGAATGCCTTGCTTTAGATTCTTCTGTTTCGATGAGTCTAGATGGGTCTGCTTCCATGACCGTGTGCCTTAACCTGCCAGCACAACCCTCGCGATGCATCATCGTATCAGCATCTCAGAAACACTGGGCGGCCTTGTGAGGTTAATACTGTGCGTTGGTCTTATCAATTTGGGGGTCCGCAGAGCGACCCTGAAACCTGAACTCGAACACAGGAAGCAAAATCTGGTCCCAAGGATAGGAGCACAAAGCAGCCCGACAAGTAGTCTAAATGATTGCGGCCGACATTGTGGTTCGCAAAATGTGGAGTTTCAGTGGCTCCGAAACTCGGCCCGCGGTGTGACCTTGCTACTGCTGGCATTAAGAAAGCTGCCCAGAAGACGGCCCCAGAAACGAAGCCGGAAGTCGCACGCTTTGCTTGCCAATCCAGTGCCCTGCAGCCGCCCAAGCGTGCTGCTAGACGCGACTAGACCAAAAACTTGCACGTAGCTTGCTGCGTCATGGCCCTACGTCGTAGAGTTTGCCCTTCCCCCAGACAGGGCTGATTGCACTTTTATAATACGATGGAGGCACGCTATGAAGCCGGAAGCAGGAGCATTTTTTGGACCCAAAATCGCGCCCTCAAAACCACCAGCCATGCCCTCTACGGTGGGACCCAAGTTGGGCTCGGTGGGACCCGGTGGGTCCCAGCTCTTTTCTACATGGGACCCTTCACCCCGTTTTTGTTTTACCATGCTGATGAGGGTGAGGCGAGGCTCCATGATAACGATTTTCATTGCCCTTTAGCATTGCAGTCCAGGTGTGCATCCAGCCGGTGTGTGCAATCATTGAGGGGAAGCCGGGCACAACCAACGTTGACCGTTAAGCAGCTTGTTGTTGAGGTTATCGGCCCAGTTTGCAGGCCCAACTGCCCTGAATGTATGATGCTGCTGCTTCAACGCATGCTTCTGCCTCCGACATGTCCGTGGTCTTGAGATATAAGGGCCACAGCAGCCACAGATGAAAATGTGAGGAAGCCTTTGCAGGAAAGGTTCCTGTTGTCAAAGGCGGCTTTCTGGCAATGCAGCCTTAGGCCGACTGCTTATTCTCGCTAATAGCCTTGCTGGATGATGTCCGAGTTGACCACTGACCCTTGATTTTGATGCTATCGTCCGAAGGCGAAATTTCCACGCCAGCAGCCGCTAGACCTGCAACGTGTCATGCCGATCTCCCGCTGCAAGCTGCGAACCTGACTTCCAGCAGCAGAGATCAAACAACCTGCGGTATGTGTGGGAACTTCACCACGATGCACCTACGATTTGCCTGCATTTCTTCAGCCACGGTTTCTCGCAGAGCCTGCTACAACCCGGACATCGAGAAGACATATCTCGATGAAAGTAGCATGTAGCAAGCGTACTAGTTTGCGGGGTGCTGCGCCGGAAACTTGTGATGCGGACACTTGCAGAGTTTAGCCTAAATGGTGCAAAAACGTGGAATAACTACCTAAACATCATTTAATTTTCATCCAACGGTTACAAATACGAGGTCTAGTCATATTGCTGCATGGCTCTGACACCATAGCTTGAGTTAGTTAGAAATGTAACTAATAGTTAAAATTTTACCTTCGGCAAAATTTTAACTATTAGTCAAAACTCATTTATGGATATATAGTCTCGTTTGGGGGGGGGGGAAATATTCTTAATGTTTTGTGTCCCGAAAAGCTGTGATTAAGGATATTTGCGTTTTGACTAAAAGCTACGATTAAGGATATCATATCCATAATCGCAGCTTTTAGGCACAGCTCTGGCGACGAAGTTTGGTCGAAACTTCGACCGAACTTCGTTGCTTGGTGTCGCTGTTTGCCGGGGCTAGGTGACGAAGTTTGGGTCGAAGTTTGAGTCGGGGTTTGGGCTGCCTTTCGTGTGCTTTGTTGTACGCCGACGAAGTTTGTGAAGAAGTTCAGAACGAAACTTCGTCGAAGTTTGGGCCCCGGGCCATATCCAGAATTCGTAGGATTCTGGATATCGGTTTTGGAGATCTTGAAACCCCAAAACAACGAGGATATTTCCTAGGATTTTGGAGATGACCGACAAGACTAGATCGTAGGATTTTGACTATTATCAACCTGGGATTTTGGATATCAACGAGGATATATATCCTTAATTGAGTTTTGACTATTAGTCACGATTATGGATATATCGTGTGATTATCTTAAAGGTAAAATTCAGACTAACTCAAGCTATGGGGGAGGATTGCGCGTGAGCCGGTGCGCGTGCACGCCGGTGCGCGTGCACGCGAGCCACATTGTACGCATTCTACCGTGCCACCCTGCCCCCCCCCCCACCACCCCCTCCGGCTGCCCCCCCCCCCTCCCCCTGAGATGTAACCTGGACGTGTATCCCCTCGCTAGGCGTACAGGAACACAGGCACTCAGGTGTCTCTTTTGCTACAGGCGCACAGCTGTAGTCCACTGCACTAGAACCTTGAGCAACAGGCATGGATACATGCAAGTGATACGTGAAACAGACAGGCACCTGGATGTGTAACATTCAGTGTTTCAACCAGGCACAAATTTAAAACACGTAGAGCTGCATGGCCGTGGAGTCGGCATTCTACTAGCCTGTTATTGCTCTCGGTCGAATTAGCGGAGTATTGAGCTACATCTGCGACTTGAAGAGAATCTATACATCTCTAGCCTGAAGACAGCTTCAATGAAAAGAGCAGAACACGCACGAAACGCAAACGGATCTTCAACTGAAAACTTTTGCTTGAAAGTTGCCCACTTGTGTTTCAGTTCCCTCTCCAGGCGGAAAGCATACTGTAACATAAAAGTGTAGAGCTTGGCTCTACTTGATGCCAGCATGACATCTTGCGACAAGGCAAATGGTATAAGGGCATTGGAAGTATCTTATCCTGAGATAAGTATCTTCTTTTGAAGAAGAGTTCTTTAGGAAGTCCCTTTTCCTGAGAAAAGCATCTCCCTATGAAATGACGAATGCTCAAAGTGGATACCTTCTTCTGAAAGAAGCATTCCGTGAAACACTCTGCCAGTTCAGTCGACGAACTCTATGTCGCGATCCCAGGTACTATCACGCCAATGTTCTGCATTATGCCAGCGGTAGATATCCACAGTGTGGATAGGCACCACCGGCGCATAGCGAACAGGGTCGTAACCGCGAGGATCAGCAGGGGATCTAGGTAACGATATCTGTGGATCTGGAGCAACGTCTTCATTCTGTTCCAAAGGAACTTCGTCGAAACCATTGTCCATCTCCACGTCCGAAGAATCGGAACCTAGTCAGTTTTTCCCCTTGCTCTTGCCCTTGGACTTGTCCTTGGACTTGCCTTTGGACTTGCCCTTGTCGGCGTCCTTGCCTTTTCCTTTGGAGGACTTGCCTCCTTTGCCGCCTTCTTTGCCACCAGGAGGTTGTGCGGGTTCTGGAGGACGTTGAGAGCCAGAAGAAGGAGCACCGGGAGCTGCCTCTTCCTGAGAAGAGCTTGCCCCTGGAGGTGCAGCTGCTGTCGGACCAGTAGAACCAGAACCACGAGCCTTGTTCAACTTCCGTCTCTCCTTTCTCCTGTCCGCGGCTTCCTTCACAGTCTCGGGATTGCGGTTGAGCGCCCTCATCCTGCCTCCAAAGTACTGGTTCGCGTGAACCTCGACGAGGAGCGGCGTGTGAGCGTCATAGTCCCGATCGTTGAGAAGGTACGCGGCGCTGGTGGAATTCAACAGCCACCCGGAGACATGGATGTCGAACTCTTTCTTTGAAGCTGGAAATTCAGCCCATTGATCGTCCGACATGCTGTGTCCCCACTCCATGACTGTCGC